TTGGTTTTAAATTTTTCTGCCCTTTTTTAAGGGGTGAAATTTCAAAAAAATTTTGGGTTTTTAATTTTTTTTTAACCTTTTTTTTTTTTTTTTTTTTTTTTTTTTTTTCAAGTAAGAAAATAACTAGTGATTTTTAAAGACTGGAATTGGTTTCACAAGGTTGAGTTCATTGCAGAATCTCCAAATTCTTCTGCTTCACTTCAGCTCACAAGCAAGTTAAACAAGACAGTGATGTGAAACACATCCGGCACAAACACAGGCTAAACACTGAGCTGATGGTCCTGACTTCAGCCCTACATCACGAAAAACGATAAACTGCAATTAAAAGCGAGATCCGTTCCAGGGAGCCAACCAATTTGAATGAATTTTGCCAGGAAGAGTGGTCAAATGTCCAACCAGTAATACGCAAGGACTGATGACTACATAAAGTGTGTGGTTTCTCTGCAGCTTACTGAAGGCCAAAAGTCAAAATATCAGCCAGGGTGTGTGTTGTAGCCTCTTTGCATAAATTTTGGCAAATGTACATTGTGCAATCGTTAGAACCTGATTTAAAAAAAAAAAAAAAACAGTTCAGATAAACCAATAAAAGCCCAAAAATTATGACAGTCGTCCCTGTGATAAGTGGATATAAACACCTGACAACTGCATGTGGGATCCTTGCCCAAATGAGCTATACCCATATTATTGTCTCCTTCCCTCCTTATCTGCCACCGACTCATCAGTAGTCTGGATGATGAGGATGACGACGAAGACCTGCCGGTGGAGATAAAGGCCGAGCGGGAGAAAGCACGGAGGTTGGCGAACAACGCCCGCGAGCGGCTGCGCGTGCGGGACATCAATGAGGCTTTTAAGGAGCTGGGTCGCATGTGTCAGCTCCACCTCAGCTATGAGAAACCCCAAACCAAATTGATCATTCTGCAACAGGCCGTTACAGTTATACTCAACCTGGAGCAGCAAGTTCGAGGTCAGTGGGTGTCCAGAGAGAAAGGAAGCGGAGGGGGAGGGGCCTCTTCCCAGATTAAAACTCGCACACAGCTTGAGCTTCTCCTACGTTGATCCACCATGGTTTTGCAAAAGAATCGGGAGCTAATTCTTATATTTATATCTGCTAAACATATCTGAGCTGTTTGGATTTTTATAGTTCTGGAGTCTAAAATGTTCTAAAAGCAAAAAAAAAAAAAAAAAAAAAATGGGGATTAGAAAAAAATAAAGCTGTGTCACAGTTTTAGGACGTGGCCATTCTCCTGTTCACCCTGAAGGTTTCCATTTTCTCATAACGGGTCTGTCGTTGCTTTTAATTCACTCCGCTGCCTCGCTCACAGCTTGGTTGTCTGTCTGCTTCACTTTTTTTTTTTTGGCTTTAGTAATCACTTTTTATGCTTTCATCTAGTCATTTCTTTCACAATTGCTCGTTATGCTTGACTTTAACAACTGTGATTTTAATTTAATGTCTTTTTTTTATTTTTTATTTTTTTATAACCTTTTACCAAATTAGCCTTAGTTGCCTCAAAGCCGAGCTGTGTGCTGTGAATTAACATTCCTTCATGTTTGGACTCTTTGTTCTGCACGCTTCGGCCTTTTGAACGCTAAACCTCTCCTTCTTTTCTAATCCTTTGCGTTTTTTTTGCTTTACCTCCTCTCACTTTCCGTTTGCAGACGGCAACAAAGACCGATGTCTTTCTCGCTTTGAAATGAATGAATACGTCGCCTGCTGATGTGTTTAACACAGTTAACCTGCTGTAGCTCTTTCTGTGTATTGCATTTGGCAGATGGTGTCGCTTCCTGTCTTTCTCATAACTCGGTGTCCGTATCTTCCCTCTGACCCCCAGCTTCCATTCTGGACCCTAATGACCAAACTTAACGCTCAGGACTTGTGTTTTGATATCACTTTGTCTTGATTGCGCCCTGCTCTCAAACTGCTCAAAAATGCACCCAGAAAGAAAGTAGAGGTCCATAAATGTTTCAGCGGACCTATGGTGCGTCTCCACTCAGGTCTTCTTTAACAGTTTCAGGTTTTTCTCAAGAGCTTAGAAGCACTCTGACCTGCACAGATTAATTCACTTCCAAGTACGAAAAGCAATTACTGAAACAGGGTGAAAAGTCTTCATTGAAGTTACAAATTTAGATTGTTCAAGCAGATTTCAGGAGGGTTGTGATTTGGGATTGTTCACCAGTTGTTGTGGAGGGGCTGGGGGGAAATAAATAAATAAATTGCCAAGCACTGCTAGATGAAAATCACTCCACCCCTCCCTCCCTCTCCCCACCCCTTACTTCTCCTCCCGGCTGCAGCCTCGTCTCTTTGACCGACGAGAACCTGACTGCGGAGGAGAAGGAGCAGAGGGAGCGCGATCGCCGCCTAGCTAACAATGCCAGGGAGAGAGTGCGAGTTCGCGACATAAACGAAGCCTTCAGAGAGCTGGGCAGGATGTGTCAGGTCCACCTGCAGAGCGACAAGGCCCAGACCAAGCTCGTCATCCTGCAGCAGGCTGTCCAGGTCATCCTGAGCCTGGAGAAGCAGGTGCGAGGTAGGTCAGCCGAGTGCAAGCAGGTGCGATCCACTTTAGACAGCTGGATTTCTCTCGCTAGAGCCGGACTCGTACGACTTTGTCTCCGCTGACCGCTTGGTGTTCACTTGGCTCTTCTCTGCGGCTCTCTGGCAGCACACAAACATAGGAGAACAGGAAGAACGTTTAAAGAAGTAAATCTCTGCTTTCTGCCAAATGCTTGCACAGCTCGCCTCGCTTTCCATCCCTTTGTCTTGCTCGCCCTCTCGCAAAGTGTTTAAAAGCTTACTTTGCCGTTTCTGTAACCTGGAGATGAATATTCGTTTGACGTTTGTGTTCCGCTTGTCTTTTTTAGAGCGTAATTTAAACCCAAAAGCCGCCTGCCTCAAGAGGCGAGAGGAGGAGAAAGTTCCAGGGCTGGAGCACCAGCTGCAGCTGGGCGGGGGTCACCCTGCTCTGGGAGGGGACGGGCACAACCCCGTGAGCCATATGTAATACTCAGGTACGTCTGCCGAAGCTTCACTACTGTCTTTCAAAGCCTGAAAATAAAAAAAAGAGAGAGGGAGAGACTGTAGAAAAACACTTGAGTTTGCATTTTTTTATCGGATATGCTGTAATCTGGACAAATCTGAGCTCCATTCATTCAGAAATAAAAACTGGGACCATTTCACAGCTTCTTTAGGCCTCTGCCACCCTTACAAAATGGGTTTTAAAGTTAATCTGAGCTTCAGTCAGAGGAGAGTTTATGTTCAAAATGAAAAGGGGATTGTTTTTTGAGATATAATAGAGGCGTGTGGGTCTTTTTTGGCTCGCTTTTTCATTTTACCTCCCCAATACTTTGGTACATCTACACCTTAAACTGGTATTGAACTCTATCAGTTAAACATAAAGTGTGAGGAAGAACAGCTGTGCTTTAAAACCTTCAGTATCACGTGTATGCGGTTTCTCAACACCGTCATAGAGCTGCAACAAACAACTATTTTAGTAATCAGTTAGTCTATCGATTATTCTGACAATTACTTGATAACTAGTGTAAACAATTAAGCCTCTTTTATACACTATCGGAAATACATTAAGAGTCATAAATGAACAATTCAATTAAATTTTTAAATAAAAAAATAAACGTTAACAAAAATTCCTCTCGTGAATTTGAATTAGGTGAAGCTAAAACTATTCCGCTTTTGGAGTTGTGGGTTGAACATATTTAAAGACAAAGATGTTTTGATCTTAAATTTTTTGTAAAGTTTTGGCTTAATTACTGCTCTGAATTAGCCTGGCCATTGCCTCCCTGTGGAGCTCCGCTCGAAAACAAATAGCAAAGTCTGGTCTTTCCTCCCAGATTCTCTCGGATTCTCCAAATATTGCACTAACTGGTCCATTAAATACGTCACAGTGATTGGGTAAAATTTTAAAACTTGAAATTGAGCTAAGCCTACTTGCAGTGGGATTCGTGGTTATTTGAGAGAATTATCATCCCTACTTATTGCTGTGTTTTTCTTTGAATGTTAACCGTCTTCCCTCCTTTCTCTTCCAGTTCCTGTTGATTGTCCAGCCCTACGAACAAACACGTGGCCTTATCGATCATTGTCGTCCATCTCAGTGTGTGATAATCATGCAAACACCTCATTACTGACAAAATAATAGGTGGCCACATTCCTGACGATGAGAACAATTACAAGAAGCACACGGGATACAGTAAAAGAATACAACTTTATTGACTTTTACGTGACAGTGCTTGGAACTGAACACACTGCTTTCGGAGACGGTGGATAATGGACAAAAAAGAAATGCTCTTATGATAATGTTTGGGCTTTGTGTTTTTTTGCAGGACGTTGTCAAAAATTGCTTTACACATTGGGAGCAAAACCTGTTTGGATCAAAAAACACTTGGATCAATTGCTCTGAGTGAAGTTGAGCTTTTTCTTGTTGAGTAGTTATTGGTATTCCCGTCAAAAAGAGGTCTTACATTCTTCACAAGTTGAGAGGGGTGACTTATACATCTGACGATTGAACAAAAGTCTGTTTCATCCCGCCTTTCTCACACCTCATGTGCAGTGTTTGGTCACGATGGCTGAACTACAGAAAAAATGGAGATACTCTGCCTTGCAGAAGCATTCAAACCCTGTGAACTTCTTCACATTTTGTCACTTTGGAACCACATCGTTCACTGTATTTTGTGGAGATTTTACGTGAGACGAAAGGAAATTGGAATTTTTTTTTCCAAGAAATATCCAGAGTTGGGTAGAGTTGCCAAATATTGTTCCCAAGCATGACTTCAATATTTTTTTTTATTTAAGTTGAAGTGAAAAGTAGTCAACCAAATTTGGGAATTTGGTAAAAAAAAAAAAAAGGCTACTTAGGTACTGAGTACTTTAATACTAATTTTAAATGTGATTTAAGTTGGGAAATTATTTAATAACCATACAGGAAAAATAAATAAAAATATGTGCCAGATTTGAATAACAAAGTAAAAAAAAATGAAGGAAAGTCAATCATATTACTACAAATTCAACAAAAAAAAGAAATACAGTATTTCAAATCTCAGTTGTCCACATTACACTTTTGAAACCAATATTTTATGATATATTACAGCTGGTAATGTATGGACCCTTTCAATACATTTATTAGATTTCTTTTTTTCCCAAGTTATTCAGTAACCCACAATAGATACAGACTCATATATTTATAGCCTTTATTTATGTTAATTATGGTGATTTTCCACTTATAGCTAATGAAAACATGACATTTTAGATCAGAATATTACATCAGAGCAATAAAAGCAATAACACAGAAATGTGGACTTAATGAATTTTCATAATCTGACAAATGAACCTTATCGCAACACACTATTTAATTTATTAAATATGACTCTATACATGTTAGACCAGTGAAAAGTAACTTCCAGTGACGATACCGACCTACATGTGGAGGCTGACTGCTTTGCTATTTTCCTTTGTAAATCGACTATTTGCACTACTATCATTGCTATTCTATAAAAATCCAAAAACAATACCCTGAAGTTTGTGATTGCTGAGTGACAAAACGGGGAACAAGTTCAAGGGGACTAAATACTTTTCCAGGGCATTGTGCCTGATCTGTCTGAGAAAAAAAAACTGGCTTCTTTATCCTGTTGCTGTTTCAGGCTCTTTTTCTTAACTTTATTTCAGTGGCTGAGAAGGTTGCCAGAGTCGCTGACTGCGCACTTGGACTTTGGGTTACTTTTGTTTTCTTGGCCCAGAACTGCGGAGCCCAGAGTCTCTAATCTCTTTAAGTCGTGTACATCTGTTAGTCACTGCCATGCAAGTGGAATGGAAAGACTGCCAGAGAGAGGCCCCCACCACAGACACAAACACACACACGCTTAGGTCGATGTAGGTTCGGTTTAGCCGTCGGTCCCAAGCGACCTTCGCCACGTTAAAGCCAGCCGCATCATCACCTACACGAGGTCACTGTTACGACACGGTGAGCTCTTTTACGTCTCGGAGCAGTTTGTGTTGTGATTAATAACATTTTGCTTGTAGACAATTTGCTAAGTATTGAAAGGGATCATGAGTGTTACTGCTGCCTTTAAGACAATTTCCTCTTTTGCCGTTGACTGACATGTTTTTTTGGTTGCTCTCGTGTTGGGCGTCGGATGTTCTCAACACAACCCCTCCCGCCCCCTTATTGAACAATTGTGAGGCCTGTTATAAGGATCTTCCTGTTGTAGAGTTCATATACTATGTCTTTGTTTTTGTATTTTATTTTTTACGTTGTAATATAGTTGTTTTGTCCGGAATGCTTTTCCTTTTTGTTTACGTTGTTTTAATGTAAGACAACTAAAGTTTAGATTCCATGAACAAAGTGAGGTTTTTTTTTATCTTTGGTGCCAGGTGCTTGGAGAAGACAAATTATCCCGCTGTGACATCACATGTTGTGATATTGGTCCATTTTTTTTTTTAAGTATACACTTGTTTGAAATCACCAAACCTTGTTGGCGAGGTGTAATTTGCAAAAGTTTTTTTTTATTTTTTTAATTTTTCCTTTTGAACAAGAAATGACTGATTTCTTTCTTTTTTGCACACCTCCCTCTTCCCTAATATCCAGCTTTGCAATGAGCTTGTTGATTAATGTGATGCAGTGGTAGGGGGGCTGCAACAAAATGCAGTTTCATTATAGTAAGAAATCCTCAAATAGATAAAAAAAAAGAAAAAAAAAAAGGTGGCCTTAGCCATTTTCCTGACTTCAGGAGCTTGGATAATGGTTACTCACCAGTGCCTCATTGCGTCACAGTGGATGATGTTACTTTCAAGGTTTTATAACTTGTATCTTCTTGCAATAAAAATGAATACTTTAGTAACATCTGTCATGTGAGGTATTACACTTGACGCTGACTTTGGCATGTAATGAGACGTTACCTGATCTACGACTTTGAAGCTGAAAATTGTATCGAAATCTCTCCTTTTTCACGTTCTCGTGTTGCTAAGATGTTTGCCTTAGAACTGGCATGTGATATTTATGTACAGCTGCAAGACGTACCCATGTCAACTTTATCACTGGAAGCCGACACTGATAGGGAACAGTATTTGTCATATTGTCACTCATCCCGCCCTGTGGACGAGCCTCGTTTACTCAAACATTTCCCAAGGGAAAAAAAAAAAGACTTTGTATAATTTGGAAAGCCACTTTTAAAGATTTTCTTTTGTCAGTGGATATTTCTGCAGTAACTTTGTCTCAAAATGTACAATTGATATGTTTGTTAACAGACCCTGTCTGTCCTCAGTGAACAATGACCTGCCACAGATTTCTGTCTTCTCATGTTTGGGGACATTATCTACGTAGGCTATGTCCTCAAAGTGCCTCCAGTTTCCTATTTTTTATATATAAAGTAGATATTGAGAACTGTTGTGTATATAACAGTGATGTAGCAATAAATGTGCCATTTTTAATAACATTGTTCTCTCTGTTGTTATTCAGACCTTTAAATTCTAAGAAGAAATTCATTTTTACCCAGAGGAACAGGATATTTTTTGATTTACATAAACCTCATTTCAAACTGTTCAGTTTGTTGTTTTTTTTAGTCCTGACAATTAAACTGAATTGAATTCTGTAGAAAGTGTAGATCCTCCTCTATATTTACATATTCATATTCATTCACTCACTCAAAAACTTTCACATAGACTTTTGTTATGTAAAAAGTACAACTATGAATGAAAAGTCTTTTTAAAACTTTTCCCACGTATAATGTGATTTTTATTCTGCACAGTTAAAATGGAAAATAAATAAATATGAATCTGGTCAACCTGGAAGAAAAAAGCTACCTACTGTGATTTTTCCTTTTTTCCACATGTGCGGGTTTATAAAGCCACTGTGTTCAGCAAGATTACTAGTAAAGTGTAGTTGGTGAATTTGTTGTAGTCTTAAGGAACCAAATGTTCTGGTGTTTGCTAAAAATGTTGAAGATAAAGATGTCCATTTTTGTTTAAGTGATAATTAAAATGAATAGGACGTAATTATTACTGCTTCTGTAACATGAAAAAATAAAATAAAATAGAGCCCTTCTTGTGTTGCTTGCTTTATGCGGCAACCTTGCCACTCACAACATGGCCTGCCGCTAACGTATCGGGTCTAAGAGCCAGTAAAAATGTTCTTTAATGCTTTCATTGGTAGTCCATTTTAATTTTTATCATATGTAAATCTACAAGAAGAAGTGGTAGTTACAAAAAAAACTGACATCAGTACAAATACAGATAATATTCTACAAAGGAAAAGTAGCAAATGAAAACAAACTGAGACACATTATTATTGTTGTCATTCAGGGTCAATAAAAATAATAATTTAAATACTTAAAGTAATAACATATTCTGGAAGTCTACTAAGAAAACATAGACGTTTGGGAGGGATGTAACAGGAGATTGTTTTTATTTTGTCACTACAATCCACAACTTTTATTTTGTAAATAAGCGGAAGTAATTAACGTGTGTCGTAGCGGAAGTTCTTCTCACCATTTAAAGCAGCGCGTCCTGTAGGTAGAAGGGCATCTGTCAGCTAAAATGATTGGTAAATTGATCGGTCAGAAGTATATGGCCATCGCCAAGTCGTGGTATGTGCTTTCATATTGTTTTTGTGGGTAAATAATTGAATACATTTGACATTTGGAGCTTGGAGTTGTTGCTTAGTCCTGCCTAAAATTAGCCGTTAGCCTAGCCGAGGTCATAGCAATGGGGGCATATGTATGAATTCAGGCTATTAGCTCGATTCTGGGTCAAAAACCCGTGAAATTGCATATATGTTACATTAAGGCATTATCCTCTATTTTTTTTTTGTTTGTTTGTTTGTTATTTTTCCCGATTACGATATAGCATTGGGAATATTGTACAGTGTAATTAAGTGTTATTTTAAGGTGAGCAACTAGCTAACTGGCTTTATTTGTCAAATACTTAAAATAAAAACAGGAATCAAGATATTCTGGTAAATTATTTAGAAGCATTTTTTACAATATGCCAATCTTTTACATATGAGATTGGAAAGAAAATATCCTTAAAATGTTAATATGTACAAGCATCTGAACTGGAAAAGGAACTACTACGAATGTTTTACATGATAGTTTTGCCCATTCATTTTTAATAAGTTGAGTAAACCAGTCATAATTTTCTGGGATCATAGTAACTGAGTTCCTACACAATCTTGACAGGTTTGGAAATCAATTTAATTAGATTCTTTAAGCAGTTTCCAGGTCTGTGTAAGTATGGAAGAAGAAAATGGATATATGAAAATGTCGAATATGATTTCACCATTTTCCTTGTTCCATTGTCTTCAAGACAAATATTTGAATCAAAAAAATCATTTTGAAAGTTATTAGAAACCTGACCCATGTAGAACTATATGCCATAATTTTAAAATAATCTCTTGTGTTTGCTTATTTCAAACGTGTGATAACTTGAGTGAAAAATCAGGAAAAAAAATGTATCTGGTGTTTTGAAATGACAAATGTGTAGTAACTTTGTGATAAAATTTGTGCTGCATTCCCATCACTATAAGCTGGACACTAGCCTGGCTAAAGCTTTCCCCACAAGCTGCCTAGCTTCCCCCGGGGAGACGTGGATTCGTTTATTATCTTTCAATTAACCTCCATTTCTTCCTACTGCTCTTCCCTCTGGAAATGAGACTACCTTATTTCTATTCTGTGTTTATTTACTGTACAATGTTTGATGTAAGGCTTGACTGACATGATTCTTTATGCTTGTTTTCATCTGTTTAGCTGTTTTTTTTTCCTTAATATGTGGTTTCCTTAAACTCAGATTGGTTTTTGGCTCTCTTGTGTGTCTCAGAGTGATTTGCTTCCTCTCTCCAGGGTCCCCACTATGACCTTCTGGGGAACAACTGGAGGCGTGGCCTTGGTCTACTTCACAGACTGGCGTGTGATTCTGGATTATGTTCCCTACATCAACGGCAAATTCAAGAAGGACGAGTAGGGGCAGTCTCGTCAGGCAAAGGTATCGCTTTGACCGTCAAAGAAGACTGTTGTTTTCTGCTTGCTAGCAAGATGATGATGATGATTCAATTTCTTTTTGTTTGTTTGTTTGTTTTTGGTGTTTCATATGTTTTCTTAAATTATATTATGCCTAAGTCATTATTATTATTATTATTATTATTATTATTATTATTATTATTATTACATACATTATCTTTATTATTATACAGTAAGAAAATGTGCATATGTTTTTAAAAACTTTTTTTTTATTTTTTATGTCCGGATCATTTTCATGGGTACATTTTACATCTGTAAAATACATTTAGTCTAATTTGCACTTTCATCTTGTCATGGCACATTCACAATAGATGTATTGAGTGCAATATTTATCAGGTTGATTTATTTGAACAGTTGGGTACACTCTTGATAATAATCAGAGGCTGTGTTCACAGGGAAATGCTTAATCCTTTTTGTTGTTGTTGTTGTTGTAGATTTAGCATTTTATATTTAACAGTTTATTGCGTGCCGTGTTCACAAAAGTAAATTTCAGTTTAGAATACTTCATGTAAAAACTGAATGTGAAATGTGACATGACGGTAAGAGCAGCAAGAACAACAACAACAAAAAACAGTTTCTCCAGCAGTGTGAGCAAAGCCTTACTTACCAAGATGCTAAGGCTCAAAGAGTGATTTTATGATGATGGAAAACACACAGTGTTGAAAATGTGGCGATTGGAGTTGATATTCTTATTACACTGTACAAATGTCTTATCCCAAAGTCATGTTTTTCTGAGATTGCGTTGCCTTAGTGTGATTATATGTATTTAGGTTCACCACGCACACTTAAATTGCAATAATAACACTTTTTAGCTTTTTTACTACGTCTTCTGGGCTGCATAAAACGAAGCTGCTTTCTGACTGCTCAGTAACTGTTTTCGATTATTAGAATGGCTAAACTTTTTTTTTTCTGAGGGGAAAAGTAAAAAAAATAAAATAAAGAGGTAAGAACATTTTTCAGACAGAACTCAGTTATGATGGTTGGGTAATTATAGGAGGATTCCCAGGACTGGAGGTGAGGAATTTGCTGATAAAAGTTTATATATTTAGACAAACGCAGAACAACTCCGTCCCTGGACAGCAACAAGTCTCTACGTTTGGTCATGGTAGGACGAAACAAAAGTCTGAGACAATCAATAACTCTGCTTAAATGTCAGGATGATGTTGAACCCTGCAAAAAAAAAATAAAAATAAAAATGTCTACTATGAAGTAATTAACCCCTTACATCAATACATGTGTGTGTGATTTTACTTTTGGTCTTACACCTCCATTCATGAGGCTGATGGAAAGTGCTTGAATCTTGTTGATTTGAATGAAAAAAATCTCAATTTGTCATTTTCTTTTCCCAGGTTGGTTTCGGTTACTTGCTTGTTACTGATGCTGAGACGTTCAGAACAAGCATGAGCCGCTGCAGCCTGTACATCGGACTGTGGCCCCCACTGCAGAGCCCATCACTAACACCTCAGTCAACACCGAACTGCTTTCATCAACTTTAAGTGGAATCGTCCAGGCGTTTGACGTCTTTGTTGGGTTTTTTTTTTTTGCCACTGTAAAACAAAAGAACGAATGAAAAAGAAAACCAATGTCATCTCTGCTGCTTCCTCTCTTCCTGCTCAGTCTGAGGATGTTTTTTTTTCTCTTTAAATCACTTTGTTATGTGGATCAAAATAGATTTTTGATTTTGCTTCAAAAAGAAGTAAAGTATGTATTTTAACTTGTGTTTGTGTGTATTTTTTAATGAGCATTTACCAAACAATTGAAAACTTCTAAAAACAGGAGTGAAGTGTTTTTTTACATACTAAATTCAGTTCCTCGAGGAATTTGTGGTATAGACTGTTGACTGAATTAGATCTTTGATTGGCTGGAATGTGCCTTTATGAAAAAAAGCTCTCTTTATACTTGCTTTAAGAGACCACGAAATAAGGATCAGCTGAGTTGTATGTGAAAGATGATTATTCTTATGGGGAGTAAATTTGGTTGAGCTACTTTATATATTTATATTTCACTATAGAAAATTATCACAAACTTAAGTTAAAGGTCAACATAAGCCCTAAAATCAACTCATATGATGTATGTGGATAATTAGGTTTATAAATTAAGATCGATATCATTTAAAACAGTTTTTAGGGTGAGCAAAAAAATAGTTCCTATATCCAAAGCTGTATTCTTATTCTATTATTTCAATATGTGTGTAGTAGTCCAATGTGTACTATTATTTTTTTCCCAAGTGCAATAAAAGGCGTTTTATTGCAACTAACTTTAAAACTAGAAACGTATGAAAGCAGTCTCTATGTAATAAATAAAAAAAGTCGCCTGTAGGTGGGAGCTGCTCCTGCTTTCTGATTGTGTAAGCGAGAACGTTTAGAGCAGCAGAGATGGAGAGTCAGAGTCGGACTAGTTTACAGTGTTGTGTGGCGCATGCATTACAGTAGATTATGTTGCGCGTCCAGCAGGCGGAGTGATCTGCAGGCGTTAAAAAGTCCTGACAGCAGGATTCGACAGCTAAACACTGTAAATTTAGGACAGGTAGATAGCGGACTTTTTCTCCCCTCTTTCTTCGCAGAATATCCAGTTAACGCAGCGATACAAAACGGGACCATGGAGAGAAAAAGGTGAGACGTTGAACTGCGTGCTAGTTGAGTTGTTCTAAACAAGATGTGCAGGCACGCGTTCGTTGTGTAGTTAAACACTCATTAGCATGTGGACATGTCGGAGTTATGTATATTCTCTGTCACCGTCTTAAACAAATTGGTATTTTATGGGTCCGTTGAATTTATGGTTTAGTGTGACTGGAAGCGGTAGGTACGTTGTGTGGGTCGTTGTTGTTCCGCTGAGCGCTAGCTTGATTAGCTAGCTAAGTTTCATTGTTTACACACGCTTGAGTCGCGAGGGTGCAGGGCCCGGTGTTGCACTTCATTCAGCGACCCCCTCCTCTCTGCGACCTTATGACGACTTCCTCCTGGCAAAGACACACTGCAACTTTTCATTTACAAAAAATAAAAAGGAATGGGAGGAATAGTGCACAGGTTGGCATTAATTGTTTACGGTGTGTCTATATGTGGCTAAGTTTTTTTTTCTTTAAGTGTATTTTTCCGTTAGTTATGAACTAATTGGTTGTTGTTTTTTAAATATGTTATTTGTAGTTGAGTAAAATTATTCAGAAGCCTTCTTCTTCTTCTTCTTCTTCATTATTATTATTAGTGACAATAAGGATAAAAAAAATACTTTTGGTTGTTGTAACTTCCTGGCTTGTCGTTTACCAGTCTATCCAGTCACCTCTGTGTTGAGCCACACGTGAAAGAGGAAGGATGTTGGGGCCCCATCTATGCAACTGACTTATTTGTTGGTTTACAATAGTTTTTAATTCAGTAATAACTCTCATTTACTGTATTTTGTAATATAGAAAAAAGGTTTGATGTGGTGATAGTTCTTACCCTCTTATTGACCACTTTTTGCTGTTATGCCTTTCTTGATAACAGTCGAACGGTTCAAATGCCGAATATTTTTTTGTATCTTTTAAAATGTTGATACAAAATTTACGTTTTTACAGATTACTTTTTGGAATTTAGATGTGCATTTCATTTTTAAGCTTTTAAGATTACACTACTAGGTAGTTAGTTTTTTTTTTTCTAATCCACTTCTCTTGCAGCTCATAAAAATCCCATCAGGTCTTTTCTTTAGTACAATGGGGAATGCTCCACCCTTATCAACTTGCCTATTATCAAAATCAGACAATATTTTTTTCAAATTCTCTGATCGTTGATCATCACGTCAACAACCGAAATGTCTGATTGATTCCGGCTCTGTGAATGCATCAAAATGGGGGGAAAAAATCCTATTTTTTTCAGTCTATCAACATACTAACAATGTGCATGTTTGTTGTTGAGGTTTGTTTTGAGTTTTGTAAAATCTGGTAGATGATAGACATGTGCTTTTATGCATTCATAGGAATAATTGGGTAGTTTCTACCACCTATGTAAAGAGGCCACCAGCATCCATTTCTTTTATGGCCAACTTTTTGTTTTAATTGTAGACGTAAAATAAAGTTGCCGGGAATTAGGTTTATGTCTAATAGTCCTTAGACAAAAAACTGTAGCCGAACCTGATATGATTTCCAGATCTCTGGAAATCTGCATCAGCCTGTAAACATCTGACTGGTGCATCTCTAATCTACACAGACCTTTTACTCGCCGGCCCTTACCTCCAAAAATCAATAGAAATAAGACACAAATGTGCTTGATGTTTGTCATTCCATCTATTGGAGGTGGACGTCCACAGGCAGCTGAGTAATACAAGCCTGGGGTGCAGAAAATGTAAAAAAAAAAAAAAAAAAAAAAAAAACATTCTTTGCATTATAGAGTATTTATAGCCAAGTGATATTGGTAAATCACCACTTTAGTAAACCTACTTAAATGTTCCATTTCATGTTGCATTCATGCACAATTTGAAAGAACACTTCATCATATTTCTTTTTCGTTTTCTCTCTTTTACTTTTTCAGCCTACCCGTTAAGCGTATTCTCAATAAGCCACAGATTTTCCGCAGTGACCTTCGCACCGATGTGAACACCGGCCAGCCGCGGGCCGGACGATCGCTGCAGACCAAAGTGCAGAGAAGCAGGCACAAGAATCTCTACGACGTAAACCATCAGCTCAAGGTGAGATCAACAGCAGACTGTGCAGGATATGAAGACAACAACCTTCCAGAAACTAACATTAAATAAGTTATCAAGATAATTTTTTTTTGGTCAATTTTCAACAGGGATTTTCCCCTTTTATTGAAAACTTTAATGCTTTTGTTCATACAAAGCTTGATAGCCTTTACATGTTTAGACTTTGCATGTTGTTTAAGTGTACATCAAGTAGCAAAAAGAAGGGGTTTATGATTTTAAATTTTAAATCCTGTGTGTATCTAGTAGGGCCTTCTCCGGTTATGTGTTGCGTTATTACATTAGTCACTGATAAAAGGTACTTTTAAAACGTCTCACACTTTTCAGAGTTCTGTGCCAAAGTTGTAAAAACGAAAGAAAAAAAACACACAAAAAAACACTGTGAACAAAGCAAAGGGAAATCTATCCTTTCTTGTTGTGTCTACCCTCTGTTGTTCCAAAGATCTTGCAGAACTAATCGGATCTTCATCCTTGTAGCGTTCTGTCTCATGTAATCTTCCATTAAATGCAGAAAAGCAACGCCAAGCTTGTAAAGAACATTTCTTTCCGTTCACAGCCTGCAGAAACACATTATTGTTCAACTTTCCAGCCTTCCCGATAACAATATGCCTTCTGCTTTCAGCAAAATATTTCCCATTTTTTGACTCGTCAGTCCAGAGTCGCTGTCATTTTTGCACAAATTTGAGTCCCTTAGCTTCGTTTCATTTTGGTGTGATGGCTTCCAGGATACGAGCCTTCCAGTAAGATCAGTCCTGGTCTGACTGACTTCTCTGGACAGTTGGTGCTGCTTTCTACCAGCTCTGAGGGATATCTTCTGATTCCTGAGGGAAACGTACTTTATGTGTTTTTGTCTGCTGCTCTAGTTTTCCTTGGAAATCCATCTTCAAGGCTTCCAGCTTCTTTGTGATTGTGAAGCTTGGAATAACGCATCTTGAGATTTTGGTCTGCTTTAAAATCTTTTCTCCGAGAGCGATGCCACCAAATTTAATGCGCCTGAGACCTTGTAACACTACCAAGTCACATGATATTAGAAAAAATAGCTTGCATGCTCACTTTTGTTCCCAGCTGATTAGACATTATTTGGGTATGTGTTCAGTTATTGTGAGGGAACGACAAATTTACACAGTAATACAAGCTGCATGTCGTCTGCTTTACATTTTGTCAAAGTGTCGTAACCTCCATGTTGTCCAATGGAAAATATATAATAGTAAAACATTTACAAAAATGTGACGGGTGTTCTCACTTTTGTGAGATACTGTGACGACCTTGAGTTTGATCTTGTTGCCATGGTAATTGACCTGCTTGGCAGCAGAGTTTTTTTTTTTTTTTCTGTTCCTCATTCAGTTGTAATGGTCAGCTTTTTCTGCCTCAACAAGTGTGGAGTATTGATGATTTTTAGCACCTGTTTGGTGTAATCGATGATCATTCGCTTGGCGATAAACCTACATGATTTTGCGCAACTGCAACCACGGGAACTAAAGGCGGATTAAAAGTGCAATAACTCCAAATATCTACATTTTTCTATCGTTTTCCTGCTTTGCATAACAATACTAAGAGTTTTTTTTTGTAATGCTCATAAAGCAACATCTAGGTTTTAATCAACTTCACCACAATTAAGTTGCTAATGACGAAACAAACAATAGAACAGCGATTCTACCAAATACGCCTGCGCTTATTAAGCTGTTGTTTTTGGTTTATTTATGTCATGTTGTCTCTTCTCCAGGTCAAGCCTGATTTAAACACAACACTCCCAGTTCGACAGACTGCTTCCATCTTCAAACAGCCGGTGACTAAGATAACTAATCATCCCAACAACAAGGTGAAAACAGACCCTCAGAAGGCGGTGGACCAACCAAAGCAAGTGAGTTGGAGGATGGAGAAAAAAAGTCATGACGCTGTTTTTAATGTTGCCCTGAATAAAGGAGCATATTCGCTTCCGGCTAAAAGTCTAACATCTGTCTCTCTGGTCAGCTGTTCTGGGAGCGGAAGCTGAGCGGGTTAAATGCATTCGACATAGCAGAAGAGCTGGTGAAAACTATGGACCTTCCCAAAGGCTTGCAGGGTGAGGACAGCACCACCGAGATGCGGAGAAGGTTGAGTTCAAAATTAGCATTTTCTGTAGCTTGACTTGACCCATCCTTTTTTTTTTCTTTTTCTTTCCTTCCCCCCCCCCCCCCCTCAGGCGTCGGGCCGGTGTGTTCTGATAAAACGCTGCTGTCTGCCATTGCCAGCGCGCTGCACACCAGCCCAGCGCCCATCACTGGCCAGCTCACTGCTGCGGTGGAGAAAAACCCGGGAGTCTGGCTGAACACGGCCCAGCCTCTCTGCAAGGCCTTTGTGGTGACTGATGATGACATCAGGTAGGATCAGTTAGAGCTCAAAGTACAGAGCATCTGTGTGAACCCATTGTTTCTGGCTTCCTTCATAGAAAATAGTTCAGTCAAAGAGATTATTTGGAGTGTCAAAGGTGATTCTTGTTTTTGTATTAGTGCTGCTAAGGGTTGTCCGTTTGGGGTCAGAGGGTGAAAACTGTTCCAACTTCTAACTAGTTTATGATTACAAGATATGTGTAAAATTAGGACTTCCCATTAAATATTGAGCTCTGTCAAAAAAAAAAAGTGTCCTCGTATGAATGGCTAATAGTATCTTGGGGAAAATAAAGTGATTTAATTTCAGGTTCAAACTGAATCTCTGGTTTTACTCGTGAAACAAAAGTGATCAATAGAAGGGTGTTTTAATAGAAGGGTGTTTTCTGTCTATGGTTGCCATAGTGATCACATTTCTAACTGAAAATTTATATTAAAACAATACACTTAAACATAATCGACCCTGGCAACATTTTTAAAGGCATTCTTTTTAACAAAAATAATTTTAAAAAATCAGTTATACCGATGAGATTTTTTTTTTAACCGGGATAAAAGCCGTTGAGTATTTCAACCTTTTTAGGGAAAAAAAAAAATCCTACTGGTCTTCTATAGCAAAACTGTAGAGTGGATAGATGAAGTGTTAATAAATTTTATGAAAAAAAAATTTCTAAATTGGATTTAGTTGTGCAATTAATTTGAAAATTATATTTTCAGCTGCTTAGTTTCTGTGTTTCCAGTCATTATTGCTTCTTTTTCTCCGTGGTTCTCATCTGTGTAAATTGCTGTGTGTTTGTGGTCTGACTAGTTTCAGCTCATGTTATTTACTTCAGTCTAGCTTCAACTTTCATTTGCTTTTACTCATTTTATCATAATTATCACAATTGGCCACAAATAACCCCTTAACTGCTTCTGGAGTTTGGCTCCGCCACTATTGCAGTGCAGTTATATTGGATGATGGGTCCATGAACAGATGTTTTCAAGTCTCGCCATAGATTGTGGAGTATTTTTAGGCCTGGGCTTTGACTTGGCCACAAATATGTGCTTTGATCTAAATCATCCCATTGTAGCTCCAGCTTGTTATCCTGCTGGAAGATAAACTGCCAGTCTAGAGTAGGCCTGCCTTTTGCCGTCTCTAGAAGATTTTCTTCAACCAGTTAGCTTCTTTATCCATCCTCCTATCAATGCTCATCAAATTCCTTGACCCTGCTGAACAAATCAACCCCACAGCTTGATGCTGCCGGCACCGTGTTTCTCTGTAGTGATGGTGTGTTCAGAGGGATGTGCAGAGTCGGTTTCTGCCATTCATTTTCTAGCATGTCTGAAGGTTAGATTTTTGTCTCATTTTGCCAGATCACCCTGTTAAGCATGTTTGCTGTGTCTCCTGCATGTTTTGTAGCAAACTGCAAATATGACTACTTCTGGCTTTTGTTTTGAAGATTTTTTTTGAGAACCATACTTCATTTTCCTTCGACTCACAATTATGTTGATCTTTTGCATAAAATCCCATTAAAACACATTGAAGTTTGGAGTGATAACTTGGCAGAAACGTGAAAAGGCTCAACTTGAGGACTAGTCTACTCAAACTGAGGAGTTTAGGGATCTTGATGCCATGTCTCTGTGTGATGATGGGAGGAGGCACATTAATAGATGGATTGGAGTTTGTCTGCAATAACATGGACGCTTCTCTGGTCTATTGTGGTGAAGAAAGACCTAAAAAACAAACCATAAAACCTCTTAAATTTACAAGTCTACATTGCGACTCCGGTCAAGCGACTTTAACCAAACAAGAAGACTCCTTCATGTTTAACACACGATTAAGGCCTGGTTTTTTATGTAAACCTCGTCTGCGCTGTGGAGCGAAGTTATTTCTTTCTCTGTTTCAGCTGTGGGGCTGGTCTCCCGTTTCTTAGGAAAGTTGTCTCTGAAAACAGCTCCACTCTCTCTCCCCTCCTGTCCACCTCTCCTCTCATTCGGCTCTGAGCGCTGCGCGCAGAGCAGCAGCTGTGAGCCTCACTCACAGCTGAGAGGCAGAGAATCGGTGAAGAACCCCAGAATTATTCGGCTGCTGTAAACAAACCATAGCAAAGCATCATTTTATATGCAAGCCATTCACTTCCGAGGCAACTCCAGGGATTTTTGTTTTTAATCAGCTCTTCTTAATAAATTTTCCTCAGGAAAGAAAAACTTGTCACGATTTGATGGATCCATTTCCTCCATAACAGCTTTTTGATGTTTTTAGGGGTTTCCGTCAATCAAATGGAGGAACTTCCCAAAAATAAGTCTTATTAACAGCCCGTTATGGGATGGCTTCCAGTTCTGTATTACACTCCGTGTCGCTGTAGTTTATTCATTGCTCTTTATTTCCTTTTTATAATCCCATTTAAAATCTGTTGCCTTTGTAAATTTTCTTCCATGACAGGAGTAAAATTAACTGTACAAAATAACCGAACTGCTGCGCAGTTATCTTGTGCAGGAGTACATGTATGAGTACTTCTGACAAATCTTTCAGAGAAAGTACCTTTTATAGAGTTTTCTGTAAAATAGTCTTTACAATTATCATTTCTGGTATTGCTGCGATTATAAAAGAAACATTAATTTGGATAAAACAAGTAAATCCATCTCAATCCATATAAGAACATTTATATTTAATTATTTTTATAAGAATACTACAAACATTCTGCTAAGGCACATTAAAGCAAATTTTAAAATGCAGTTATTTGTGATTAATCACAAGATATCTATGGCTAATGTGCGATTAATCATGATTAATCAGTCAACAGATCTTTATATACAGATGGATGTTTTGTGGTGGATTGAAAGTGTTTACATTTTGCCAGTCTCTGACAGCGTCGTGGGGGATGGAGTGCAACTTTAGAGCCACAACATGTCATCTTTGACATTGTGTGTGTGTGTGTGTGTGTCTGTGTGCAGGAGGCAGGAGGATCTGGTGCAGAATGTGAGGAGACGACTTGAAGAGGCCCTGATGGCCGACTCTCTTGCTCACATAGAAGATGTTGCCGCAGACGCAGCCGACGACAAAGTGGAGAAGAAGACCGAGCCGCTGGAGAACGAGGAGTTATAGCCGAGGTAGACGGAAACTCAGCACGAGAGCCATTTGATTCATGTAGTTTACAGAAATATAGACTGTATTACTTTCCCGAGTGAGTAACGCATTTCTTTCTCATCTCTTCTCAGGTTTGCTGATAAACTCCATGTACTAAAAAAAAAAAAAGACTCCATTTTGTTTCGAATGCAGAAAAAAAAAAATAGATCTTAAAATTTTTCCTAACCCAAACAAAGACTGTCATCTTTATTGTTTTATATTTTTACACTTGGTAATGTAATCCTAAAAGGGTGCTTTTTCTTTTGTTTTGTTTTACCTCTACTAATGTAAGGCAGCTGTGGAAGGTGCTCAATACAATGCAGTGTTACATTAGTTTCCAGCTGTTTTAACCTCAGTGTTGAAGTTACAAACCTCACATATGTGAATTCGTGTGTTTTTTATAATGTCGATGTGGGTTCTGCAAAGGCTGTATATTTTTAACTGTTCTCCCAGATTGCGTTGCTTTATATTTTACCGATACTGTAGGTGGTTTGTTATACGGTGTGTTTTCTGAAAGCGTAGAAAAGCTGCAGTATTTTTATACGAACACAGCACTCGTGTGGCTGTCTTCTTCAAGTTTTACGGTTAGTTTTGTTCCTGATACTAAGCCTGAGTCGTCATATTTGCATTGTTTGTGTTCTTTTGCCAACAACATTAAAGTTTAGAGAGTAACGTTAAAGATTTGGAAAGACAAGTGAAATTGTACAACACTGATGTACTGTACATCCTTATGCTATTTTTGTTTGTGAAATAAATGCAGCTTCTTTATAACTCGTGAGTTTGTTTCACTGACAACGCAGTGCAAAAATATTCATAAACCTTAAGCTTTTTACATTTTGTCACATTGCAACCACAGGCTTATTTATTTATTTTTTTTACATGCTGGATCAGACCACTCCTCTGTAAAGGCCAGATTTGTCTAATATCTAATCACCTGAGCTGTGGCTCTCTACAGCTCCTCCAGAGTTACCATGGACTTCCAAGTTATTTCTTTCAATACGAACAGTAATACAAAGAGTAATAATATTTTTATCCTTTTTCAGATTTTCATAGCTTCAAGTTTCAAGGGATGTGAATACTTCCACAAGGCACTGTAATTATTTAATTACTAGTCAGAATAATGTGTGTGTATATATATATATATATATAGTAGGACATTTAGAGTATTTTGACCAATAATTGATCAGGAATCCAAAATCCTCAATCTGTGCCTTCTACATAAACTATAACTGGGGATTCACAACAATATATCCTGTGGAAGGTAATTGTTGATGTGTTGAAATGTTGCATTTAATGCTTTTTTTGCAGCAAGCGCCCATACAGCACTTAACAAATTATGAAATAAGATGTATCAATCGAACAGAAGCAGCAGAAAGGGATGTTTTCAACAATATCTTTACTGCATGAGATGGCACATTTAAGATCTTTTACCCAGAATCAACTCTCCTTGTTTCACCTTAAGTGAGGTCATCAAAAAAAGAAAAAAGTGGAAACCAGTGAGATTTATATCAGGGTGTAGAGGAACGCCCTCTGCTGCTGGTCCATCCTTTATTACAATTTAGCTCAAGTGTTTTATTATTTCAATTGCTATTTATGATTAATTGTTAAAGGCATTGAGATACAAGACCAGCTATCTGAATCGTAGCATTCATTTATGAGTCGTGTGGTTTCAACGCACACATGGGGTTGTATTTGAGACAAGTATTTTTTTTAAATATATATACATATAAATGGTCTCTTCGGTGTGTTTTAAGGTCAGTAATCAGACATTGCCAAGTTATGCTTCTTGTTATAAAATAAGCTATGAAGCAAACAATACCACTGAGCATGAGCATCACTCGGAGGTGTAACTGGACCACCCCAAACACCTCATTGGTAGCCATGATGAACACACCCAACCATGACCATATACTTTTATTTCAATCTATTCATTTTCTGATCTGCCCGCGCTGCAACCGGACGCGTTAAACACAAATTCCCTAACAAATTAAATCAGAGTGTCGCATATCGGGAGCCGGAGCGGCAGCGAGCGGCGCATCGATGCTGCATGTGGCCTCTGAACCCATTGTTGTGTCGCGGCTGACGTCAGTGCCGTGTGTGCGGCAGACGGAGCGGCGTACGCCTGGTGAGACAAAGGCGGCGGAGCGAGCGGGGTCAGGCGGCAGCACCGAGCGGAGCAGAGAATCACTGGTTTATAACTCAAAGGGAACTCCCAGCCTCGGGTTTCAGCCACGCTTCTCACTGACGAGACGGAGAATGAAGACTCAGCGGCCCTCCTAGGAGCGTGCTGTGGCCGTCCGGGAAGACAAAACAACATCGGTGCCCCCTTTTTGCTTTTTAACGTTTTTTCCCCTTCTCCAACGCCCCCCATTTAGCTTGGCTAGTTAGCTGTCGCGCTAAGCTCATTGCGCTGCACTGATCTCCTCCTCCTTTCTTGCTGCTTCTCGTCTTTCCCTCAAGACTGAACGACAGGCGAAGAAAGGATATCAGCGGTCAGATAAAGTAAGTTTGTGATGTTTCCGCGCTTGTTTAATTTTAAAAAACAACACGGCTTTTTTTTATATTGAACACAAGTTCGACTGGCAGAGCAGAGCTAAAGCAGCTAGCCGCGGTGCTCCCAAACAAAGGGGTCGACAACGTGACTGTGAGCCGACTGTGGAGCTAGCTTGTTAGCTCTCTTCTTTATGCTAAAAACAGCGTCTGTTCATTCTCTACTTTTTATTTTAACTATTCTGACACGTGCGTTAGTGACAGATGATTCGGCTACAATTCCTAGTTTCATTAATGTTGAGAAATACTTTAATTCACTTGTGTTGGGACAAGACAACAAGCAGCCTGCTGGATGGGCTCAGTTGTCAGACAAGCTGCCACAACAGACAAAGCAAGCCGCTCAAATCAACACTGGTAGAGCTCGCTGCTGTTGATTGGTACTCCC